CGCCATTTACTATTATTACATATACGTCCTGTTGATGATGTCCCCGGGAGGAAAAAAACGACTCGCATGGGATCTGCATGAGATATATGTGCGATACAAGAGACGTCCTAGGGACATCCTACCAAGGGTGATCCCATGCGGGATAACGGGGATCAAAGTAGAACGTCCCACGGACCATTTGTGTTTGCTGGGTACAGGGTTGATCGCGTTAGGCGATGAAAAGGTAGATTTTAGTTTAAAAGATTCCTTTACTATGCATAGGAAAGAAATTGTTTTCTAATGAAAATCTGCTGTTTCTAACGCTAGGTACTTACGGTTCGCGAGGTATTTGAAATTTGAGTCAGTCCCAAAAGCAAATTCCTACTTAGTGCCCCAAAATGTATTCAGTTCCTTTACAAATTCTTACTGATTTTTCAAATTTAATTTCAACTTAAAATTGCTCATTTGTACATTAACAGTATGTAGCACTGCCATGCATTTAGCAATGTAATTTTTAGTCAGTTTATTCCCGTGCAATTTGAAGTGTCATTTATTGAAAGCAAGTTTCAGGTGATTCTTGTGCCTTTTAACTGATTTGATTTATTTGATTGGTTGTGAAAAGCAATGATATTCTAATGTTTGTATGATTTTTATCGGCAGCTATGTCGGAGCCATCGTGACATAGGTATCAGTGACACTTCACATGAAATGTAAGCTTTAATACTTACTAAGGCCTATTTTTAGTTTGGTTTTGATTTCGTTGTTAAAGCATTGGCAAACCATGACAGGATTGGGGTAGTTATGCTTAAGACAGTAAGTTTTCGCAGGTATATGCGATGTAAAAGTCGTCAATTGCAATCCATCATTTCAAAGACATTTTCTTGTGTGCAAACAGCCATTGCAATTGGGGACTGAGAATTTTTTTATTTTTCCATCGGGGACAAACACTGGTTAAACCCAACACAGTTTCATGCGTCTTTCTAATCTGTTGCAGTCTTGGCCCAGCAAACCGATTACGTCTGGATTCTGTTCTGGTTGGTTATAGCTGGGTTTGTACGAGGAGCGGCTCTAATAAATTTCGCGATTACCATCTCGGAGTACGCAACTTTAGAGAAATTGCCCGCAGCGTTTGGACTTCACAATGTTGGCAAAGGACTGTTTGTTGTCACCTTAGGACCTGTATTAGGTAAGATTTTGATTTAACCATACATGAAAGTCAACGATTTTGAAATTGTTTCAATGCCAGATAGATTTACCGGCAACATTCCAACAATTCTTTTTTGAAAACATTTTTCTTGGGTATTTTGCATCAACATTTTTAGCTGATATAGGATATAGGCGTAGGTCCCTCGGACGTCCCGGGACGTACATGGTACATACTTTTGGGACTGTTCGGGTTATGTATGGGATGATCCTGTAAACGTCATTTGGGACATCACTGTGATTATAGACGGGTTGATTCGAGGACATCTGTGAAAAGTTCTTAGGTTAATAGTCAACCGTGAAATTTTTGCTAGGTTTTCTTTCTAAAAATTTTTTTTCTAACTCTTTCAACTTTCGAAAAACGTTGAAGGCAGCTTTATAATTTGTAAAATTTAGGGTGGAGGCAATTTAAAAGAAACAAAACATTGAACCAATAACCTATACTTCAAAACAAACCAAATACATTTACGTATTACAAACTAATTTTTTTTTCTATGAATCGAAATTTGTTCTTCTATCCGGAACCGAACTATAATATTAAAGTGTTAATTGCTATTTTTGTCCCTTTTGAGCCTTTCCGGCGCGTGCCTGAGCCAATTTTGAATTTAAATTTCAATATCTTTCCTGGTTGCTATAAAATGCGGATTTTTTACCAAGCCATCTGTAATATTTAGCCATTTATAAATAAATAAAATTAAATAAGCCATTTATAAATACAATTAAAAGTCTATTTTGCCTTACTCTTACTTAAGTACTTAAGTCCCTTACAAATAAAAAGTTCTTGAATACTTTTTTTTCCTTTTTCGCCTTTGAAACTATAGGTCACCCCCTCACCTCTGTGGCTCCCACCAATTAATTGTATGAAGTTAATTAACCTGCAATATAATATTAATAAAAAATCTTGCCCGTATCATGTCGCCTAAAGTTATGCAAATTAATATGCCAAAATACTTAAAATTTGTTACTTACCATATGATTTCATTGTTCCACCCGGAAACCCAAACCGATATATTTTCCATGTTTCTTGTTTGGTAATGCACAGCTCTTTATTTTACTGCTTATTCGGTCTTCGTCTCGGGGCCAATAGCATAAATTTTCTTCATCAATCTCCCATGTTAGAGGTACAACTTCCGTCGGTAATAAACAATACAATTGTACACATCTTTCAACAAGAAAAAAATGCTATCGTTTCAAAAACAATGTAACAATAATTTGCATTAGTCAAGACAATTTTATAACTAAACACTAAACTAATCTAAATACTGTGAGCAAGAATTCTACTTTTTCAGCTATTCATTGAATTTTTTTAGTTACGGAAAGCAGCCTATTTTCATGGAACATCCTGTATAGTGTAAGATATCTTCACTTCAATAGTACCTATTTCGTCTTAGATGGGGATTGAGCAAAATCAATTAAACGTTAGCAAATGATAAATAGATATTAAAGGCAGATAAATTGGTATTAAAGAAATTATAAATAAATACAAGAAAATATAAATATATATTCAGCTACAGTCAATCGGACTACAATATAAGACAAACTCACCTTGTACTTGGAGAAACAAAAGTGGCAGAAACACTAATTATGTCGTTAAAATAAGGATTCTTGCGTACGGCAATATCAAAACTTCATTTTCCAAAAATGTCTACCACCCCGATTTAGGTAATCTGAAAGCTGAAAGAGAAGGGAAAAAATCTGGAATCGATCACATTTAAATGCTGTTTGATTTATATGATACTTGTTCGGAGCTTTGGTACCTAATTTAATGTTTTCTCACGCAAAGCCAAGCAAGCTGGTATATTAAGTGTCTAACACTCCACGAAAATACATGTCATGAGCAGTATTAATAAGCACACTTAAAACAAAAATTCAACTCAAACACGATGTTT